GGATGGAGGTTGGGCAATTTTCTTTGATTCATGAAATTTTTTCTCACCGTTAGGTTGGGCGTGATTTTTTTCGGTGGGCAATAGCTTGTGCAGGAATTTTTTTAATATCAAAAATCAGAATAATGAAAGTAGAAAGCACTTGGCCAGCTTGATTTTTTCCCTGCGGCTGCCCTTGCACAATTTTGTTTTCAGCAGTTTTTGCTGTGTAGGAATTTTTCTTGGAAAAAAATAATGGTCTGTCCCTTATCAGAAAATTTTGACTTTCCACAGGCACTTGATCTGGCTCTGTACACAAGTGTCAATGTTTTGTAGTGCTATAAGATCTATGTGAAATTATGCTTTAGGAAGTGTTGCATGACAATTCTTTTCAAAAGACATGTATTGCATTTACGCTGTTTAGATTAAATTTTAGGTGTTCTCTTTACGTTTGGAAATTGCCATCCTTGTGGCTGACATCTTCTCGCGACACTACCTCCAGCAGAAAGTCACATAGATCTCATAGCACTGCAAGAGATTGAAATTTGTACACAAAGCCTGAATTCTAAATCTAATTTTTCTATCTCTTCAGCAAAGCCCTGAAGAAGATGAAGAATACCCCTTATCAGAAAAACTCGACTTAGTACAGGCACTTGATCTGGCTCTGTACAGAAATGTCAATCTTTTGTAGTACTATAATATCTATTTGAAATTCTCCTTTTGGAGGTGTTGCATGACAATTTCCAAAATACATCTATAGCATTTAGATTGTTTCGAATATATTTCAGGTATTCTCAATCACCATCCTGGTGGCGGACATCGTCATGCAACACTGCCTGTGGCAGAGAGTCACATAGATCTGATAGCACTGCAAGAGATTGAAATTTGTTCACAAAGCCTGAGTTACCAGTGCATACTTAGCAATAATATTATTTGGATTTGATTACTTACTACTAGACTGTTTAATGTGCCCTTTTCTCCAAGTCCAGTAGCTGAGAATTTAAAGTAGGGATGAGGAGTAAGAGAAAGGTATTAGCAGGGCTCAATTACATGTACATGTACTTGAGGTTGTAAAATGGTTTGTTAAATAATTTCTGATCACAGATCTATGGCACCACAAGTTATTGCTAAGCAATTTGTGGACTGGACAGTGATCCTACAGTCTTAGTTTTATTTGCTAGGAGAGAAGGGTGAGAAGTGGAAGTTGGCTTTCAAGCAGGCATATTTTACAATGTTCTACTTACTCTGTCCAGCATCTTGAGTTCATCTGTAGAAAACAATGTAAATCAAAGTTGAAAACTGATAAATTTTGATCCATGACATAACACTTGCAAAGGACTCTGTGGCTTTACCCTCTGTACACTGTCTTTTCTACTATTGTACAACATCATAGGCATGAAATGCGTGCAAAGGGCTAACTGGCTATATCCTTACACACATCACACACCAGGCCAGGGTGCACAGAAAACAAATTTTTGGGTTTACCCCTCAGGCAAGCTGTAACTGTGATTTTCTAGCTCAAGATTTATTCTTACTAACCTCAAAAAATTTCTCTCTTACAGTAGTTCAATCTGTAATTTGAATTTCCTCAAAACAAGCTTCCTTGCCAGTCAGGCAAGTGAGGGACAGAATCCGATTGCGTTGCCTGGTTTTTATTTTTAATTAGTATGTCACTGATTCTTTGAAATGCTTGAATGGAAATTGCCCATGGAGTACAGTGGAACCCCGATTATCCGATCACTAACAGGCCACAAAAATCTGGCTGTATTTAAAGGGGTTCTTTAAATTAGAAAATGACTGACTGAGTTTTTGTTCAGGCCAGAATAAAGTGACTGTAATAAGGAGGTGGCCATATTAACTGGGTGGCCGTAAGGAGGGGTTCCAATGTACTCTAAAAATATCTTTTTAATACAACTTGCAAAAAAACTTCAACTTATTTGATTTCAAAATGATTTTTGCAGTTGCAATAGAACATATCTAAGCTATTGCCTGTGCTAGACAAACATTATTTAGCTCCGAACCTTTGAACTTTTTTCTCTCGTTAGCAAGTCTATCTCTTTCCTGTGAAACCTTGCGGAGTTCAGCCATTAAATCTGATTGAACAAAAATATAATAACAAAATCACATCTTTCAAATGTTTTATTTTATTTTCAAGAGAAAAAGCTAGCATTTCTACCTCTTTTAGAAGGTGTTAGCCTTTTCTTAATTCCCACTGCATTGATCCTTGTCTGGAGAGCATCTTTCTCTTTATGTAGCTCTTCTATTTTACTTTGGGCATCTTGGAGTTTCTTTTCCAAATCTCTGTTTTCCAGCTGTGGAATCAAATTATTAATAAATATCAAGAATAAACTGTTACCATTGTCACGTGATACCTCGGGAGAGGACTCCCATATAAAAAGGACGGGGGTGCTTGTCTGAAATTTTGAAATGAACTCCAAAAGGTACCACAGGTCCAGCCTGTTTTGTAGGCGTGGCTTGAAATGTTTTTCACCCCTTAGAGGTGGTACCAACTCTAAAAAACACATTTAATCTCCTGTCATATTTTGTTCAGCTCAATACCCTAAAAGGTACCACAAAAGCTCTTTCCGTGGACCTTTTAAGGCTGAACACCTTAAGAGGTACCAAAATTAGGGTCATGCGTGGAAAGGTTTCTGGTAGTCAATAATAGTAAAGAACCTGCAGACTTCTGGTGACAACGGGTCATAAAGATTGTGAGAAATACAAACGTGACCATGATGGATGCAACAAAACAATTGAAAGCAAACTCTCACAAAGTCTTATTCAAACCTCTTAAGAAGCATATTCTATTTTTGGTTAGAAATGTCATGTGATATGGTAAATTATTTTAATTGGTTTCGGTGTCATTGAATGAATGGATAGAATTGTTATGTCCTCTTGACCTTTTAGTTTGCCCTAGCTCAGAAAATGTGTCATCCAAAAGCAAAATAATTTTGCTTGACATTTCCAAGCAAAGATAGCTGAAATACTCTCAAGAGGCTTGAATGAAACTTTTTGTCAAAATTTTGTTTGAGCCATGAGTTTGGTAATACAGTATGCAATTAACCAAATGCCTAATGTTATGGTGTGGCAATAGAAAGTCTCATTCAAAACCTCTTGCAGTCCAGCTGTAACACTTACACTCAGAGTAGCGATTTGCTCCACTTGAGCTGTGTTAGTCTTTAACTCTTTTTGGTATCGCTTCATAAGGTTGTTATGCATAGACAACATCCTGTTGGAATTTTTCACATGTTAACTTATTTTTATCATACTAACAGCTCTCATGGAGGAATTTCTTATTCTAAAGGAAACAATCCTTAGAACTGATTTGTACAGGACAGGATTGGTTGATATGAGACTGTCCAGGAAGAACTGCCCCATACTGCACATGCTGGCCTGTCTTCTATTTCAAATAGATTCCATGTTGCCGTGCATCTGTTCAGTAATAGATCACAGATGACGTAAAAATGTGGTAACAAAAAATTCCACACAAGCCGTTAGGTGAGTATGTCACTGATGTTCTTACCACATTTTGACATCATCTGTGATCTACATGTATTACTGAATGTGGTCTCTATCCAAAGAAACAAAGAGATTATGCTAATGACATCATCTGTATGTCTGTCCTCCAATAGATTATAGGTAAGAACCAGTCAAAATGTGAGAATGATTTGACTTATTATATAAAAAGCTGCACAGTAATTATTGTTTATGACTCCCTGTTATTGTTCATCTTCAAGTCTTATCTAAATGCCTTTTCTACAAGGAAAGAACATCATCTGCTTATTTCAGATAACACTTTAATGCACAGCTCAATATCCGTAAGTGAAATTACTTGGTTGTTCTTTCAAACTGTTCATCAACTGGTTTCTTTGGTTTATTGTTTTGATTCAGTTGTGACGCTGGTCCCAGCAGTCCTCTTGTTATCACTCCACTAGCAGTTCTTGGCCTTTTGTCGTCAGTTTGAACTTGGACACTAGTGGTTTTAAAAAAGGGAGGCATAAAAATTGCTATTTGTAGTTAGTGGGTGCAAAGGGTAAGAAATAAATAAGAA